GTAGCGCAGCAGCGTGGCCTGGGCCCTGCCGTCGTGGCTCCCCACATGGTGCCGGGCACCGGCCGCCCAGCACGGCCCTCGCTCCCGCCAGAGCCACTGCTGTCCAAGCCTGCCACTAAGTTTCCCTAAAAACCAAGCAAGGGATTTTAAACTAACTAAAAATTCACCCCCAGTTAAGCCAGAATGTGACAGGAGCCTAACATGTGAAGTATCTTTCCTGGAACTAGAGCAATCGCCAGTAATGATTTCCATCCTTGTATCTAATGCGCATGCGCTGGCTGTGTGCAGTGGGGAAGGTAACCTGCCCAAACAGATCCTGCAGGCTCTGGGTCTTTCCTGTGCCAGCCCTGGGCTCCCATCTGTGGGCACCCCCACCTAGCCAGTCGCATGCAGGTTACAGGTTACTCGGAATAAAACCTACAGCACAGAGCCCTTCTCTTGGGGCTCTCTTATTGTTGGTGTCGTTTTGCCATCAGCAAAACGTTTAATTTTTCGGGTACCACCTTTATTCGCAGTTTCCTGGTGTGCTGTAAGAAGCTTTGCCCAGGCCCCAGCAGGGAGGCCGAGGGGGTGGCCAAGGGGTCCTCCTATGCAGGAGCCACTCGGCTCTCGGGGCCGGGCAGCCGTGACGCACCGGGTGCGGCGAGCGTGGCAGGCTTATCCGGCTTGCAAAGCTCTGCACAGGAAGCACCGTCATTCACACGCTTCGAAAAACTTACTATGATTCAGCTTTTCTTCCTCTTTTTCAGAAAGTAAAATAGAAAACTGATCTTGAAAACTGAGGCTGGCTCCATGTATCCGGAATCGACCACTGACTCCCCTGCTAGACTCTCGCTGAGACAGACGGGCTCTCCAGGGATGATTTACAGGTAAGTGGCCGGCCGCGCTGCTCCTTCCCGCCCAGCTCTCTGCACAGGCTCTCTTTCTTACGGGATGCCTTTTTAGGAGCTTTAGAGTAGAAGCTGCAAACCAGGGGCTGCAGCCCCTTGAGGAGCACTGTGATATCATAAAATCGCCATGGTGATTTTTGAATGTACTTAATGAAAAACCATTTCAGCGCTTGTGGAAACACATAGTAGCAAAAACGTTTTTAAGCTGCCCTTGGGCGTTGATGCCTGCTATTTTAAGAGCTGATTTCTCTCCAAATAATCCGCTATGTGGCGGGACTAGGAGCGTGCTTCCTCACTGTGTGTTCAGGCATGGTCTGCCGCACTGTCAGCCATCGCCTTGCGAGCGAGCGGCGGGCACAGGCTCTGTGTTGGTAATCCTTTCTCCCAGCCGGTGGTGCTGTCGGCCTGCTTTCACAGAGCCTGCTGCCAGGCTGCGAGGCACCGAGGCGGCCGCGAGGCGGCTGTTGCCCGGGCAGGGCTCCGGTGCTGCAGCCCAGCTCTGCGGCTCGGCCCCAGCTGGCACTTCACGGTTGTTAATGTGCTTTGTGGCATGTTTCTTCTTTCTCCTCTTTGCTGTCGGAAGCGCTAGGTATGGGAGCCCCAAGCGACAGCTCCAGTTCTACAGGTAACAGAGTCCTTTCTTTCTCATTAAAAATGCCCCCGGGAAGTTGTAACAGCCAAAGCGCGGGAAGCCCATGCCCAGAGTCTCGACCGTGTCCTGCCCATGCGCCAGGCGGTGTGGCCAGCGCCGCGGGCATTGGTGCCAACATTGCCAAGGGAACGGGGACCACCGGAAGCTGTGCGCTGCCGTTCCACCTCGTCGTCTCCTCGTCCAGTGTTGTCTCACTTTCACATTCGTACAGGGCTCTCTGAATCATTCTGCATGTTCGTCTGCGCCTCTGTGGATTAGCTGAACCATCATTTACGTTCTTCTTGTGGGTGCCCCTGATTGAAAGCGGGCTTATGCCTGGACAGGGTACACCCTGTACCTCAGGGCAGGGGTCTCCACGGCATGACACGCTCAGCCCTGCACCTCCTGCGTGTGCTCCGGAACCTGCACAGGCTGTAGCTGTCTTCCCAAGCACCGGGAAGAAGTTTGTGGGCGAGTCATGGTTTGCTATGAGAACATGAGAAAAGCCATATCCTGTAGGCTTTTCCTCTGATCGTGGGTTGACTATATGATATGGGAGAGGTAGCAATCGTCACTGTGGCCAAGGGGTCTGGGAAGCTGTGTCATGTGCTGCATAGGCCTGTGCCTTATGCTGGCGCACCGGTGGCTGCCAGCCTGGACCCTGAAGAGAAAAGTAAAGATCTGAGCTTGGTAATAATATGTCCTTGTCTTCCCAAGCTATGCAATAACATACATGTCCAGAACACAGGCCATAGCTGCGGGTTGCTCTGGACTTGGCTCGCTTGTCACCTCTAACAGAGCTGTGTGCGTTTTGGGTGGGTGGAATCTGCTGCGCACCTCTTGGCGTCTGAGGGCAAAGCCAGAGCTCTTAGGTTTCCCCAGAGGAGCTCGAGGAATCTGTCCAGCCCCTGTTCCTCTGGCCCTTCCATTAAGGGAAATCTCATTAACGTGTGTATAAGACAACACATTTTCTCTATCCTCTTACTGTCTAAAATGAAAAAGGCACTTTTCCCTCTGAGTACGTGTGACTAGGAGCCGTTTCAGTGCTGCCATGGATGGAGGAGCACGGCAGCGCAGAACCGACTCCCGTCGAGGCGGAGATGCTGAAGGAGGGGAAGAGGAGGCTCTTCCAGAAGGGGGGTCCGCAGCCGCCGGAGGGCTGGAAAGCAGCGCTCCTGCCTTCCCACATGTTCGCTCCCTGCGGCAGGGTACGAACCGTAGAGAGGAGAGGGCAGGCAAGGACGGAGCCGGCTTTGTGGCAGCCTGTGAACATGCCTTTCCAGGTGGGACATTAGCACTGGTGTAAGCGAGCCCGAACTTCAGGTGGCTTTTGGCCGTGTAACCAGATGTGTAATGGCGCTACAAAACCGCAGGCCAGCTCCTGGGGCCGGCCCCGTTCCCTGCACCACTGCGGCGCTCCAGGCTCGCGGCACCGCAAGCCTCCGGGCGTGATCCCAGGAGGGTCGCTGCCCCGTGCCAGGGCTTGGAAACGGGGAAGGTGGCACCTCGCGGGAGCTGCAGCTCCTGAGGGGGTGAACTTCTCCCGCACCCTGGCCGGGCTGGGCCTGTGCCAGGGAGCCCAGAGCCCTGGCACCAGTGGCAACCCCGACTTAGGCCAAGAAGTCAGTCTCTTTGCTCCGGGGAAAGGTTTGGAGCCATTTCTTAGTTTACCTGGCCAGGACCATGGGGCAAGTCGACACCTCGTGTTCGCAGAGTTGTTTGTGCCTGACTACAAGCACAGGAGATCTATGTGGAATAAAAAAGGACCCTTTTCAGGATGCACCTAGAATAGAGCAATCGAGTAAAACCCTCCAGTACTTGCAGTTACTAGCAGGAAGAACGCGTGCTCATTTCCCATGTGCAGGGCAGTCATTTTCGGTATCTGTTTTCAAGCCTTGCTTGGGGCAAGAGTTTCAGTCGGAAGTGTTTGCGTTACCGATATTCCTCCTCAGCCCGGCTCTGAACCGTGCGGCTGAGGGACAGGGCACGTGTCCCGGCTCCGTCCCGCCAGAGGGGAGCAGCTCTGCTCCCGGGAGGTTTTTGGCCTCGTCACCCTGTGTCTCCTTGTAACAAGCCATCTTGGTAAAGGGGAGCCCGTCGTTGCAATGTGCCCGGCTACAGCAACCGACCTTGATCAGCTTCAGAAAAAGGAAATGATGCCAGTGTTTATAAAGTGGCTGCATATCCACAGGCTTTTAGAGAAGATGTCATGAATAATTTAGCTTCTGTTTGCTAGGAAGAAAATACCCTAATAGAACTAATGGAGTGCTGCTAAAAAACGCGACTCTGGAGGGACTTGTCGTATTCACCAATTGCTTTGGATGCTAAGCATCGACACTCCCCTAATGAAAAAACGCCAGCTGTGCTGTCTTTTATAGCTATCTGAGGAAACTCTAACCTAGAACTTTTCTTTTAATGAGCAGGATTCCAAGAAACCGGGTGAGTTTGTGCCATTGCTGAGCCTGTAGGAGTAGGTTGCCGAAGCCTTCTGGTGTTGTGCGCTGCCTGCAGCCGAGCTTGCTACGAGCGGGGAATGATTTAGGAAGTCATCTGTAGAGCCTGGTGTTTGCTTTAAGTACAGTGCCTGTTCCACTGGCGGAAGGAAGGAGCTCTTGAGTGTGTCTCTTCTCCATCTGGAGGTAAATGAGAAATAAGTCCAATTCTGGAGCCAGGGTTATCACAGCTGCTCTGTGTCAGGCTGAGGTTTGTCTGCCTGTGGACTTTCAGTGGGTAGTAAAGAACCAGCTTTAGGACCTCTTTCCTCTTTTCAGATTAACTTTACAGCAGCTTTTGTTGGCAGGCGGGTAGCTGAGAAGATTTACTGCTCAAGTTAACTCAGCATTTGCGTGGCTGATGTGTGTGTGTGTGTGTCTTTTTTTTTTCTTTTAAGGAAGATAGGCTGTAAAATGTAAACTGCTGACTGAGGACAAGTTCCATGTTTGCCTTCTAGAAAATCAAAAGATTGTAATTCGATCAATAGGCAGCAGCTGGTAGTTTGCTCAGGTTGGAAAACTGCATTTCAAAATAGGCTACAAGCCAAAGCATCACCCACTTGTTCTACCTTTGAAGTGTGTTGTGTGTTTTAGGAGTTTTGGTGTTTAGTTGTCTCTTGTGACCTAGAAAATAGAGTTGTTTGGTGGTGGGATGTGTGAGCTTTTAGAGGCGTCTGCTCTGTGAACTCCTTGAGGAATTATCTCAGGCGCGTGGTCCTTCTTTCGGAAACAGCGGCCCCTGCTTTGGCATGCTATTGTTTAGGCTTCAGCAGCTTTTTTAGATCCCGAGCTGAAATCCTGCTTCTCATTCTTCAGTTATGATAAAGATTTTGTTAATAAAGTGCCCGTGGATGAACCCAGAGGCTTTATGCTCTCTCTGCTCTCTGGTCATGTCGCTGAGCTGAAACTCCCACAGAAGTGTTCTATTGTTTAGGCTTCAGCAGCTTTTTTAGATCCCGAGCTGAAATCCTGCTTCTCATTCTTCAGTTATGATAAAGATTTTGTTAATAAAGTGCCCGTGGATGAACCCAGAGGCTTTATGCTCTCTCTGCTCTCTGGTCATGTCGCTGAGCTGAAACTCCCACAGAGGTGGCAGAAAGGGGCGTGCAGTTCGTGAGCGCCCGGCTCCTCAGGGCCCGCCAGCTCAGCCCCCCTCGTCTCGCTTCCTGCAGTTCACCGCAGAGAGATGAAGCCGTAAGCTGAACGCGCAGCAGCGTGTGGTAGTCTCTGATTTTCCAGAGCCGTCGCAGAGCCCGGATGCCGTGGCGCGGGGGCTCGGGTGCCCGCGGAGGCGCTCCGAGGGGGAGCGCAGGGTGCCGGCGCAGGGCTTCCGTGCCAGCGGCAGCGGGAGGT